GTCAATCCCATGTAGGCACAGGTTCATGTCCCGGCTGCTCTACTTCCCATCCAGCTCCCTGCTTGTGGCCTGGGAGAGCAGTAGAGGATGGCTCCTATCCGTGTGCCCCTGGACCCACATGGGAGACCAGGAGGAAGTGCTTGGCTTTGGATCTACTCAGTCGCTTGGGGAGTGAACCAGTGGATAGAAGATCTCTCTCTGTCTCTCTCTCTCTTTTTCTCTTTTTTAAAAAATAAATCTTAAAACAGAAATGAAACCAACCAACCGAAACAAAAAACCAAAAAAGGCCTGTCAATTCTGCATGCCTGTGACCGTGTCCCAGTACAGTATTTCAATCATTTAAAAAATGGACAATTACTGATAACATCAATAATTCAATAAGCCAATACTTTTTTTTTTAATTAAGAAGACAGAGCAACTAGGGCCAACAGGCTTGATTTTGATTCCATTATTTTTTATTTATTTATATATTTATTTATATATTTTTTATTGGAAAGGCAGATATACAGAAAGGAGAGACAGAGAGGAAGATCTTCCCTCCGATGATTCACTCCCCAGGCGGCCTCAACAGCTGGAGCTGAGCCAATCCGAAGCCAGGAGCCTCTTCCAGGTCTCCCACACGGGTACAGGGTCCCAAAGCTTGTGCCGTCCTGGACTGCTTTCCCGGGCCACAGGCAGGGAGTTGGATGGGAAGCAGGGCTGGCAGGATTAGAACTGGCGCCCATACAGGATCCCAGGCGTGCAAGGTGAGGACTTTAACCACTGCACCATCGCGCCGGGCCCTAAGCCAATACTTTTAAGACATTAAGATATTTTGTTTATTTTACTCTAAAAGTTATTTGAAACATTGCAAACATTCAAAAGAAATAGAGTATAATGGATAAATTTCACTGTTTTTCCGATTTTGTTAATCTTGTTTGATCTGCTTGGTGGATCTTTGGGGCAGGAGGCTGGAATATTTGAAAATGAGCCCAAGACACAATTTCACTCAAAATGCTTCACTCTGTGATCTCTAATAAGGATTTTTTTTTTAAAAACATCATGACATTAGCATATCTAACACAATAATTCCTGAACATCCGATAGCAACTTCATAGGACATTTCCTTGACTGTCTCAGAATGCCTTTTTTAGCTATTGATTTCTTCCAAGTGAAACTGCACAAGATCTAAACATCGCATTTCATGGGTTACTAGGCATTTTACGTGCATTTAACCTTAAGAGTAAACCAAGGAAGTTGGTATTGTCCGTGTTCACAAGTGGGTTCCAGTGCTGGGGTCAGACACATAATTTAAATTTAGGCCTGCCTAACATCCAAGCCTCCATCCCATTCCTTCTGATGGAACTTCTGACGAGTTCCGTCATGTTGCCATGCCTGCATTTCTGTCTGATGGGTGCAGTATGACAGACTGAAATAGCATGGATCTAGGATTCAGCACTGTGTTTGGCCCAACGAAAGCACTCAGCAAATGGTGGCGCTGGCCTCAGAAGATGGTTCCCAATGTTAGCACAGCCTGTTCAGGACTGGGGCCGAGGGGGTGAAGGAGAAGGATGGGTGGGAGTCGGGACTGGAGGAAGGCGTTGGGAGCTCTCTAGTTTGGAGAAAAGACGTTGAGGTAGCTCAATTGTCTTCTGGTTGCTCACCCTGGTTGGTTGGGTGGCAGACAAGGTGGGAGGGAGACCTCTTGCTGTTTATCGGAGCTTGGAAACTATGGAACTGCATTAAACTTATTTAAAATTATTAGTAATTCCATTAGATAGTCTTTTACCGCAGCAGGAAGTGCCAGGCATAGCAAGGGAAGGATTTAAATAATACTAACAGCCAATTGCCTTACCTTTTGTGCCCCCCTCTAGGGGGGATTCCCCACCCAAAGCAGGTTCTGCACCAAACAGGACTCTTACAGCTTGACCCAGATTTCAAAGGCCCAAGGTAACATTCGGCACCGCCGGCCCTATTCCGAGAGCCCAGAAGGTGCTCACAGGTGTGTACCGCTCCCGGGCAGGGAAGATGGTATTGGCCACAAATGAGCCCTTTGTATGTCTTGTTTATGCACCTGCCAGTGCCCACCCAGTTTTAGGCCATAGATAACTTTAGATGCTTCGATCTGCGAAGACTCTGGGGGACCTGATGTTTCTAGAGTCCTCGGGAAGGGTGGGGGAGTGGCTGCATAACCAATTCCCCAATACGAATTTGCCTGCTTGCCTAGATGCGGTTGGAAGGTTTTTACATACATGAACGCATTTACAGGTCACAATGGTACCAACTGTGGTAAATCATTTCCATTGTACCGGAATCTTGAGGTTAAGTTCCTTCCCCAAGGTCACAGCCTGCGTGGCTAACCACTTGGCAACACGACCTCTCTGTTGGCGGGAGCGCTGTGGAAGTCTTTTGGGTGTGTGGCAGCTATCGGATCACAACCCCCAATCCCTTCTTTGCACGCAGCTTCTGGTTTGAGATTCGAAAAAGACCGCATAGACCCTGGGCAATTGAAGCTATTCTCTTCCGAGCCCAGGTCCTTGTCTGCCCCACAGAGGGAAGGCTCTCTCCTTCCCTTAAGGGTGCAGCGTGCTGGAGATGGGAGGGGCGAGGGCTGAGGTTTGTGGGCGGCGCCCGCGGCTTGCCCCAGGCCCTCAGTGGAACCTGGGCGGAATCTGGCCCAGCCAACTCCGGTTCTCAGGGGAGCTCCGGCCCCCTGGGGAGGCAGAGCTGGTGCTCTAGCCTAGCCGCTCCTCCAGGGCTCAGAGGAGAGGCGCCACTGGGACCAGCTTGTCCTAAGGGAGTTAAGGGATGAGGGTGTACCCTCCTACCCCCACCCCCATCCCGGAAGGCTTCATGGAGGTGGTGACAGCCGAGGCAATTCTGAAGATCTGGCCCCAGTCAGTTAAGAGGTGGAAGGGGTAAGGGGTTAGGCGCTCACCCCCTACCCTGGAACAAAGAAGGCACGACCGGGCTTCCCCGGTTCGAGGAAGTACTGTGGGCAGGTCTGCAGAGGCGAAATCCCACAGGGGCTTCGGGAGCTTGACTTCCTGCAAGGAGCCACCGAGAAGGGCGTGGGGGGGGGTGTGTCATCGGGAGTTCAGGAAAGCTCGGGAGGAGTGGAGGGAGCGGGGCCAGATCTCGCTTCTAGGAATCCACCGGTCCAGGGGCTCCGGGTTCAAGGAGAGAGGGTGGGGGTGGGGACCCGAGCCCATCTCTGCACCCCTAAGTGTGGCCCCCAGCCGGTGTGTAATGGCTCCCCAGGACCAGCGAGCCAGGGACACCACCCTCCTCGGGCAGGCTTAGGTGGTAGGAAGATGGAGAACGGTTATCCCCTTCCCAACCCACCCCCACCCCCCAAGACACAAACCCTCGGCCGCTAGCTGCAGCCACCTCCCCCGCCCATGACCTCATGCTTTAAGCTCCCATATAGCCTTTCCCCGCCCGTCCCACACCCTGCTCCCTGGGTCGGGGTGGGGACGGGAAGGCACTGGAGGGCCCAGGAGTGGGATTTTGGGGAATGGGGCTCAGCAATTTCCCGTCTTTGGGAAGCCGATGGTGTTAACTTTTCTGCGTGCAAAAACCCACTCCCTCGCATGGGGTCCTCCTCCCTGGGGGCGTCTCGAACCCTATCCGAGGTGATCTGATCCCTGAACTCTGGTTCGCGCTTCCCGAAGATGCCGGGAAAGGCCGGGGTCACGGGGGCCTAGGGTCCCCGACGTCTGATCCCGCTGCTGGGGTGCGCCGTGGCGGGACCTGGGGGTGGTGGTGGGGCGAGGGCTCGACAGCTCCCACCCCACCCCCACTCCCCCGGGCCCAGGACGTCGAGGCTTGCACCCTGGGCTCGCCTTTCAGCCCGCGCCCTGCCCCCTGCTCGCAGCTGCTCTCGGTCTGGGTGCAGCGGTTTCCCCCGCAGAGGAGGAGGAGACTGCGCGAGGGAGCGACTCCGGGCTCGGGTTTCCGCACCAATGCTGAGCAGCCCCGGGCGGCCCCCCGGCGGCCGGCCCTCCCTCCCCGGCACCACGTTCCACAGTCATGGCGCGCAAGGAGGGGCGAGCGCGCGCAGGGGGCCGCACCCGCGCCCCCTCCCCTCCCCTCTGGCCCCCCTCTCCTAGGCAACCTCCCTCCCCGGCCTGCCGCGCCGCCGAGCTGGAGAGACCACCATCCCCTCCCCAACCTCCCCAGAGAGCAGCGCCGTCTGCAGCGCCCCATCCCCGCCCCCATCGGGGCGGAGGGATGGAGCCGCGCGCTTCGCGAACCTCCAGCCCCTCTTTCCCCGGAGCCCCTGCCCCTACGAGGCCGGGCTGCGCCGGGGGATCGGTGAGGACTGGCTCGCCGTCCGCCGTGGAGCCCAGTGCAACCCCTTTTCTATATACATAAAAAGAGGCACACCCCTCCCCCCAGCCGCACCCCACCCCCACCCGAGTCCTCTGATTGAAAGCGCGTTACAATAACCGGGACGGCTACGCAGGAAGCAATCCTGCAACGGGTCCGGCCACGCTGCCGGCTCCAGGGCCTCGGTAGTTATTTTTTCTCCTCCTGGCCATGCCGGAGAGGCTGCGGCACCCGGGTCAGGGCTGTCGACAGGTCCCCCGCGAAGCCCACCACGGGGCCCTTGTGCACCGTCCCCCTCCACGTCCAGAGACTCGCCAGCCTGCAAAAGGTGCAATCTCACGCACACGCAAGAGCGCGCGAATAAAGTGGGCAGCGCAGCGCCCGGGCAAGGCTGCGAACAAAGCGGCCGGCCGGCTGGACCTGCGCCCCGGGGCTGGGAGGGTGGGGTGGGGGACGGGGTCCGCGGGCGAGGGGCCACGGTGGAGACCCCGCCGGCTGCCGGACACCTTACTTCCTGCTTCCCCGCCCGCGGCCAGCCCCAGCTCTGCGGAGGGATATCTCTCCCCTCCTCTGTCCCTCTCTCCCTCCCTTCCCCCGCCCTCCTGCTCCTCCTCCTCCTCCACTCCCCTCCCCACCCCGGGCATCGGCTCCCCCCCCAACACACCCCGCCTTTCCCTTTTTGCAAGAAAATAATTTGACAGTCGATTTGCTGACAGGGGAGGAATTTGCATCCTGGATTGGAAAAAAAAAAAAAAAGGCCGAGAGGAGCTTGGGAACGGTTGCTAGGGGTGGGTAATGGGTTGAAAAAAAAAAAAGAGGGGGGTGCCGGTGCGGGGTGCGGGGGGGCGTGCGGTGAGAGCGGAGAAGGAGGACTAAGGGAGGGGGCGAGGGTGGGGAGCGAGGCTCAAGGTAAGGCTAGGTGGCGGCGGCCCGGGCCCGAGTGGGCTGCGGCCGGGGGAGGGGCGAGAGATACATATGTATTTCGGTCTCCCCAGCACACCCCCTTGCCTAGCTAGCAGCGATGGCTGAGAGGCGGTGCATGCTGATGCGGAGTAAGTTTCCTGAAGGGGCGGGTGGCTGCACGCGCGCAGCCCGGCGCTGCGAATTTCCAACCGGGGAGGGAGAGTGGCTGGATGCGGGAGAGTTTGGAGTTGCTGGCGGCGGAGGGCAGGCAGGGGAGCAGGGCCAGGGGCAGGGGGCTGGCTGGCTGGCTGGCTGGCCGGCGGGCGGGCGGGCGCTATAGCTGGGAGTTAAGTTTCCAGGATCGGCAGAGCCTGCACGCTGGCTCGCTAGTAAGTTTCTGGCCAGGGAGGGCGGCGTGGGGAGGACGAGAGGGAGGGGTGCATGTCCATAGGAGGGGGGAGGGGCCCCGCAGATTTCCTGCGGGGAGGCCGAATGCATATGGAGAGTAGATTTCCTGAAGGGAGGGTGGAGGCGTAGACGGGCCGAGTAAGTTTCTTGCCGGGGTGGTGGTGGAGGTGGTGGTGGCGAGATGGTGCTTTGGAAAGCCCTGAGCTTCCCAGCGGGGGTGAGGTGGGGTGGGGTGGTGGTGGTGGTGCTGCTGGTGGTGGTGGTGGGGAGAGCACGCAGGTTTTTTGGGGGGTGGGGTGAGAAGCGGGGGAGGACGAAAGGCCGGGTTCCCTGCTGGGGGGAAGAGGGGAGCTTGCATCTGGGGAGTATGTTTCCTGGCGGAGCGATATTTGTTTACAGGGCTGAGGGCAGTACTGTAAGTGAGTAGCGCTGCAAAGAGGCGGCTGACATAAATTAATATTGAAATTACTCCCTCAGCTCTGCTAGCCCCCCGGCCCACCCCCCCAAGCGGACACTGGTCTTCTGGTCGGATTGCCCATGCACTTGTTGCAGAAGCAGCCAAGGTAGGAAAAAGAAAAAAAGAAGAAGAAGAAAAAAAACCTGATTAAGTTTCATTTTTTTAAACATTCGTTGGGGGATGCTCCCGTGAGAAGACGACGGGGGTGGGGGTGGGGAGAGAAGAGTGTGTGCGGGGGGGGGGAGGAGGGACAGAAAAGGACACGTTCCCCTCCCCACTCCCACCTCCTCCACCACCCCCGACCCTCCGCCAGTTTTCTTGCAGGGTGCCAGCCGGGCCTGCGCCCCTCTTCCCTCGCTGGGCTGCACAGCATCCCAGCCGAGGGGGAGGGGTGAAGTGGACACTGTAATTGGCCGCCCCGGCCTAAAGGCGGGTGGCGGTGGCGGTGGTGGCGGCGGCAGCGGCGGCGTTGGTGGTGGTGGTGGTGGGCTTGCAGTTGAAGGCTGCGATGTTATAAAGCCTTCATTCTTCCAGCCGAGAAACCACAGGACCCTGGGGATGTGCCTTTGGGGTTTTTCTTACGTGATGCATGTGTGATGTCTATGTGCCTGCAGACTCGGGGTGTGTGGGGGGCCTGGGTACTCCCCAGAAGTTAGTGCGGCCACCCTGATGGGAGCCCCCCTCCTTCGCTGCCCAACTTCAGTTTGGAGCCTGGGAAGTTAGAGCTGGTGGTGGTCGAAGAAACTGATCTAAAAAAAAAAAGAAATCCCAACCAAGGCACTCATTCGCCGCCGGCAGGGGCCTCTGGAGAGCACCTGGCAGGCGGGCCTTTGGCCCCGCGCAATGGGCTGGGACATGTGCGTCTGCCATCCTCAGGTTCCAGAAAACGCCCGTGGCTGCTCGGCGGGTGTGTGTGTGCGCGCGTGCTTTCCAAAGGGCCCACTCGGCTGCAGCCAGCTCGGTGGAGAACTCTTTCCTCCAGGAGAGAGGGGCAGCCCTGGCAAGGGACCGTGGTTAACCCAGGGGGACTGGCAGCGTGGCCTGGGCTGGCTTGGGAGGAAGTGGGGGAGAAAGCACTTGGGGAAATCTTTCACCCCGGGACGGCCAAGGCTCTCCCCTCCTCCCCTGGAAGCCGGTGCACTTGCCTCGTTGTCAGCAGGCCTGGAAGCGTGAAGTTCTGGATGGAGCCTGGAGTTTTGCGTGGTCCCAGCTTCTCAGAGGAAGGAGCTTGGGGGCTAGGAAATGTGGTTTTGGTACACACTGGAAGGAGTCTCCTAGCCTTTAACTAGTTAACCAGCAGTCACTGACCCTGCTGGCCTGTTTTCTTGGCTCTCAGCCTCCTGGTTTCTACAGAAAGAGTTGTAGGTTGTGGCTGTCAGGTGCTGGTTGGTGCAGGGACTTTTAACTTGGCCAGGATAATTTTAGAACTGGGGGTCAGATCTAGAGATACTGGGTAGGGTTAGGTCCCAACCACCAGGCAGGCAGTGGGGTTGACGAAAGTTGGTTCAGCTTTATGCAATTTGCTAGATAAGGTTCAGTTTTAGAAGGGGGTAAAAAAGCGGGTTAAAAAAAAAAATCTCTCTACATGTAGCTGATGGACAATGCTTTTGTCTTTTAATTCCTTTTACCTATCAGATTTCCAGATGTAGGTTTGGTATTTGCCAGTTTGAGAACTGAGTTGGTCGTGAATTCCATCTTACTGCCATTTATCCGGTGCTACTGGCTAGGTATTAATTAAACAAATTAGCTATTATTATTATTATTTTTTTACCCGAAGGAAATAGGCCTTCTTGGTGTGTATGCCTGGGAGGATAAACAAAATCTTGGTGTGTGTTTAATTCAGGGTGAAATTATTTACATGTCTAGCCTCAAGGCCAAAAGCAATCATTCTTTTTTTTTTATTTTTATGAGATTTATTTTATTGTCTTGCTTTGGCCATTAATCAAGTCACAGTAGCTTTTTTTTTTTTTCCTTTTCTACCGAGAATGTTCTTGTGGTAATAAAGGCTTGCTTGAAGGCCTATGAATCACTATTCATTCTTCTTAAAATATTATGGTGATTGTCAGGATTTGATGTATAGGAATTGATACCCGGAGTGACACACCTCTTGGGGCTCCACCCTTCCAAGCATGTCCATTTTTGCCAAAGGCTTGTGCAGGAGCTGGCTTGATGTCTCAAAAAGAGCGTTTCCCTTCTGCTTTATAAGCATGGAGAAGATTCACTTTGCAGGTTCTATAGTCTACATGGGTCTTTTCACAGCTGGGTTAGCAGGCTTCCACATCGCAGCCATGTGTTCATATCACATAGAACTTCTGTGAGCTTGCTGTGAAAACAGTTGTTCTATGAACTGGGTGGAAAGTACTCAATTTTGACTCCGCTAAGCTGCCTGGGTCTGTGGTTTCTTAACTCGGAGCTTAAATTGTCCAAGAGGGGACAGGCTGGTGTATTCTGCTGCTGCTTATATAAGAAAATGTGTGGTCACAGAAACAAGCTTACATATCATTTTGTCGGTGAGTCGGTCATAATAACCAAAAGCACTCGTTCTGGGGAAAATAGAGGGACTCTCCATCACGTAGATTAGAGGATGTTAAAATTGCCTTCAAGTCGGTGGCATGGTTGTATAGTATTTATGATAAAGAGACCAAGATCATTGCAGGTGGTTTGATAATCAAGGCAGGGGAGAAGAAACCCCTATGAAGAAATGTTGGGAGGGTGCCCATTTGTGGACTTGGGATTCTCTATCTTAGAAATGGGTAGCTGGATTTCGTGAGTTTCCCTCTGGCTCTGAGATCCTGTATCTTGTGGAGCAAGCTCTACTGAGGTCTTGACAGCCTCTTCCTGGGCCAGCCGCCAAATTGCTTTATGGACTTGGGTGAGTTGATTAACTTGTGTTTTTGTCTTCCCATGGAGAAAGTGGATTTGTCCTCTGGCATTCCAAAAAGGGACTCTTGAACAGCCTTGCTATCTTGCCCATCAAGTGCTGGGAAATACTTCTGACAGGTCTTGAACAACAACAACAAAATTCCTAATTATGTGTACTAAGAGAGAGTGGGGTGGGGCACCCCAGATCATCTCAAATTGTCCTAAAAGTTTCCTCTCCAGCTAGCTGGTTCACTGGTCTAATAGTTGGTCAGGTTTAAGGTGAGTGAAGAGCTTTGGGGAGGAAGTCCTAGGTGGCTTTGCCCACACGGTCTTTGGAGAGTTCACAAGTGGGTAGCTGATATGTGGCTGAATATTGATGATTGAGTTCATAATGATGATACTGTATTAGTCACTTTTGAGAAAGCGTACGTTTCGCCAAAGGCGTTTTTTTTACAACAGCTCTTGATATTTTTATTGACTTTGAATATCGACATGAAAAGTAAGGTTCCAGACAAGTGGCCCAGACCCCAGGCGGTATGACTGGTGCCAGTTGTCCAGCTGGGAAGGCAGCTGAATTCAGTTCATTTTGTTTCTAACCTCATAAAACTGTGTGGCCGCTGCAGAAGGAGGAGGGGGGTGAGTGGTGGATGAGAATCAGTTGGGACCTTGTGGATGAAGGATGTTTCTGGCTTCGCAGGTGGGGCGGGAGCCAATGGGCTAAAGGAGAAACTGAAACGCAGTTTGTTTCTGTAGCAGGGAGAGGGCGGCAAGAACAGCTGGATTTTGGTTCCTGGCAGGTCTTTTCACAAGGGCCATGTGGCATTTTTTAAGGGAGAGTGTAGTCTTCATAACATGAGCTTGACCTCCTGGCTCTTTTAATAAATCTTTTTTTTTTTTTTCTGGCTTAAGGAAAATGCATAAGAAAAAGCCTCTGAGATCTTCTAAGACTTTTGAGTTTTCATAGTGGTTGCTTGTCATCATTTGGGTTAACGGGGAAAATGGGCGATTCTTGGTTGTTTCCCCCCCTGACTCCCGGAAGTTTGCAAATGGGAGATGGGGTGAGATATGTTGAGTTATTGCACTGTTGGTATAGCAACATTTATAAAAGTTTTTCTTTTTGGATTGAGGAGGAAGGGTGGGGGTGGGGAGAATCCGGGTACCTAAGTGGCTGTGATGACTGTGGGGTTATAGAACGTGGTAACAGTACTGTCATGCCTTTTTCATTCATATGTTCAGCAACTGCTTTTTGAGCACCTGTTGTTTGCTGGGCCCCGTGTTAAGGGTCTGGGAACTTTGCCGAAAATGGTGAGACAATTCTCTTCCTCTACCCACACCTATACCCCTACCTATGAACTTATGGTAGAGGCAGGTGCATAAAGAAATGTGTATTGCAGATGGTCAGAAATGCTCTGATGATCGCATAGGGAGCTGTGATGTGGTTGCGCTTTGGCTGGTTTGGGAGTGTTGGACAGAGGGGTTGTGTGGGAAAGTCTTGCTTTGTTGGGGCTAAGAGAGTCTGCAGACAGGAGCAGGGAGTGGGCACAGCAGACCAACTCTGTGGGCTTTGGATTTCGTTTAAAACCATGAAAAGTTTGGACTAGGAAGTGATAACTTCTAATTGTACTGAAGGGGATTGCATTGGTAAGGAAGGGAGTGGAAGAGGGGCAGGTGAAGAGGAACAAAGCAGGGAAGAGGTTGGTGGAGCAGTGAAATGAGGAGGTGTGTGGAGAAGGGTAGGTGTGAGATGATGCAGGCACTGTTGGGTTTGTAGGGACGGGGGTGAAGAGGGATGCTGGATAGCTGAGATGTCTTACTGAGCAGATGGGTAGATGGTGTTGCTGTTTGTGAAGATGGGGGAAGAATGAAAGAGGAAGGAGGGCAAAAATCAGGCTATTTCAGTTTGGGGCTTGAGATGCCTGTAGATTCAAAGTGGACGTGTCAGAAAGGAAGTCCAGAGCCAGAGGAGCTGGATAATCAGGGCAGAGGTCAAAATATGGGTACCTATCGCATGGAAGCAGGTGTTTAAATCCAGAAAAATTGTCCCTGGAATTGGTAAAGTGGAATCCCTTGGATGACTTCGGGAAGAAAAATTTCAGTGGGGTGAGGGATTGAGTAGAACCAAGATTGGAGGACTGGGGATAGGTGGGGAGCTTGTGTAGTGAACTCTGGGGGAAGGTTTGATGATGAAGAGGATAGAAATGGATTGGGAGTCAGAAGGATGTGTACTTGCAGGGAAGGGTTTTC